CTCACTCTCTCTCTCTCTCTCTCTCTCTCTCTCTCTCTCTCTCTCTCTCTCTCTCTCTCTCATGTCTTAAATGTAGAAGTTTGCTCACCCATTTACAAGGTCTTGACATCGGCCATGGATACAGGGGTTGCTGACACACTCGTTCACCTGGGACAAACAGGTGGCATCATTGTAACCCTCTGGACAGAGACACGTGAAGCTGTTGACGCCATCAACACATGTGCCACCGTTGTGACAGGGGTTGATGGCACAGTCATCAATGTTGATATTACACATAGTGCCTGCGAGACAGTAAAATAGGATTTTAGGAGAGTGTGGCAAACACTATTTTTAAAGGCATGATGCATTTAATTGGATCAATACAGAAGGCAAGGAGTGCCTGTCCAGTTTGTTATTTTTTAAAAACTATAATCTGCTAGCTGAGGTGCTTTGCCCCCAGCATTTACTGAGCAGAAGCTATTCCAGCTTCTGTGTGCCTGGCCTGGTGGCCTCTGGAGGCCCTTTTTTATTTCTATCCACTGACTGAATGGGGGCCTTGATGAATAGGCAGAAGAAAGGTTTCAGCTGGATCTGAGAGAGGGAGGTCCTGCCAGAGGAGAGGGAGGGGGGGTGGGTGTGCTGCGGCTACTCTCCCTATTCATACCCACGCTACCCCCACCCCCTTCGACTAAGCGCTAACCTCACCGAAGACTGTTTATGGGGACAGAAGGCCGGGCTCGTTTCACACACGGTCGGGTGACAATTAGACCCCCCTCTGATCTCCTAGTCTTATTCCCTCCTCCACTGCTCTTCATCAATCAAGAAGAGGAGGGCCCAACTGCCCGATATTCAGTCACAATGGCCCTCTGTCCCCTCTGTGTCTCAGTCCTGCTGTTCCCTCCAAACTCACCCCGCAGAATACAAAAAGATGGTGGGGCGGAGGAGGAGGAGGAGGGATGCACAGCAGCCTGCTAACGCACACTATCACACACACTTGTTACCTCCTCCCTGCCCCTTTTGTGGGATAATCACAATGCAACTAGCATCAAGAACCAGCTTTGTTGGGTCATTACGAAAAGATAAATATGGTGGTTAACTTGCTGCTAGAGTCGTACATTCTTTTGCATTTTGTGTAGACAAGCAGCCTAAAAAACATTAAGATGAAAATGTTTAAATTTGAAATATCAAAAGGGTGTAATGTGGAGTTTCACACTTCTAAACACCCAAAATGTGTTTAAAGGCCAGTTTTTTTTTTTTTTTTTTTTTTTGAGGATCAACTTACAGCGTCATTCAAGGCTGAACGCCACAGTCTTTTCAGAAGACAAAGTTAGAGCTATGTGTGTGTCTGTGTGTGGCTATCAGGTTTTGGGGGCTGTCCTCTCTTTTTTCCCTATCCAGTACGAGCAATATGACACCATTGTTCCATAAAAGCAGACCCGCCAGCCACCTGTCAAATCCACCCCTCCCAAAGCACAGGGGGACCACTCCCCTTGCACCTGTACATTCACTCACCTGTGTAGCCTGGCTCGCAGGCACACTCGTAGCCATTGATTTTGTCGATGCACTTCCCAAAGTCGCAGGGCTTGCTCTTACAGTCGTCCAGGTTCACCTCGCAGTTCAAGCCTACATTACAACAGAAGTCAAACAATGAGAGGTGCTGATTCGCCTCTCGAAGAATATTGTCTTCGAGGTCAAGTGAAGCGTCACCTGTGGTGCCTCTAGGGCAGGAACAGAAGTACGAGTTCTCCCTGTCCTGGCAAGTGCCACCGTTTCTACAGGGCTGACTGAGACACTCATTGATGTTGGTCTCACACAAGCGGCCAGTGTAGCCAGGGCGGCAGTAGCAAGTGAACGAGGCCAGGCCATCCTTACATGTGCCATAGTGGCAGGGATCAGAGTAGCACTCATTGATGTCAATCTCACAGTGCTGCCCTGTGTAACCTGAAAAATACGAACAATTCAATCAATGCTACAGCTTTCTCAAAGGAAAAATGCTACAAATACAGCTGGTTGGTTGGATGGATGAAAGGATGGATGTATGGTTGGCTGGATGGATGTGTATAAAACCTGCTGTACCTTCAGCACATTCACATGTGTACTTATTGGGTCCATCAGTACACTTAGCTCCATTCTTGCAGGGGGTGCTGGCACACTCATCAATATCCACCTGGCACAGGTTTCCTGAAAACCCTGCAAACAAAACTGACTATTAAATATTTCCTTGTATTTAAAACCAAAAACTGTCACATTTTCCTAAAAACAGTTTAGTTCTAAATATTCAGTCAATTTCTACAGTGCATAAAATATGAAAATTGAGAGCAGGCAAGCTAATTTGCATCTGAAGTGGGTCTGCAGTACACTGAAAGTCTTTACAAATCATTTCACAACACCACCTCCAGCCTCCCCCTCCTCTTCCCTGCGATTACCATGCAGTGAAACCTTTCTTTTAAAACACAACACAATGGCCCTCAGCTTACCAGCTACAAACCAATCCCTGCCCCAGATTTTGGCGCTGTGAGCTCTAACACAAACTTTCGTGCCCGCCAAATATGCTAATGCTTTTGCAGCCCACTCCACTTCACTCATAAAAGGTTTAGAGGGACTATTAGAAGAAGTAAATCATTAACATTCAGTGTGGGAGCTGTAGGAGCTAAACACACTGACAGATCAGTTAATGATCAACCTTTTGTATAATGTTTTCTCTGCTCCAGTTGACTGACAACAAGAGGGCTTGATTTTGTTCAAATCGTTCTCAAATGGACCTGTTTGCAAATTTCTACATATCGTCTTACCTTTGGGACACTCGCAGTGGAAGGAGTTGATCTTGTCGATGCACTTGCCGCTGTTGAGACAAGGCTGGCTGGCACACTCATCTGTGTTGATGTGGCAGAACACGCCCTCGTACCCTGAAACGATAAACAAAGTAGTCAAACTTTTATTCCTGCCATCTGACCTACTATTTAAAGAGAATGAGTTGTCCTGTTTGGGCTTCTCACATCACCAAATTTTACGACACTTAATAATGTAAACAGGAGGATGAAAGGTGAGAGGTCAACAACGAGGATAGGACTACTGTATTTGAACAGTCTTAATCACATCACCATGCCACACATTTGTGTGTGCAAGTAAGAAACACAGGTTTGATTTTCTACTTGTACTCTCAGCTGACACAATGTTTGTAAGGCAGCCCTGTCCAGATAGAAAAAAATTCTAAATCAACCCAACAGGGATTCTGTAAAGGGAAAGCAATGATTTTCTCGGCATACTATCTGCATTGTGTCCCACCTCCTTATACCTGATGACAGATGTTGCCCCCACACCTCTTTAACTATATCACCTGTTAGAGGGCAAAATCTACAGCTGTGAAGTACATGTGTGAACAGCAACTACAGAAAAAATAGATACGTAACAGATTTGGACCAATCGGGACAGAAAGAGTTGATTTTTTTTTGGATGCACAATAAACTGAAATTAAACATTTTTTTGTCAGGGTCACATTATTCTATTATTATTCTATTTATTTCTATTTTTTTTCTGTTTGGCCTTCAGAGGAGTCGCATGCTTTTTGCTCGCTCTCCCGAACCGGTCCCTCCTTTCCTGCTTCGCAGCTTTTTCAAGTCTTTCTTCTACCTTTCAGCCAGAAACAAAATGAATTATGGATTTGGTCAACTGGTCTCTGAACACAACTGACACTATGTTTTCCACATTGAGATTGGAACATGGGGAATGTAGCTATCCCAGTGGAATAGTTGCTGCTGGTCGGGTCAGTGGTTCTTGGGGCTGGAATCTGATCTGTTTGGCACCGCTTTCCATTGAAGATGTGGAAGATTTGTACATATTTGGATTTATGATAACTGGATTTCTGCTGATCGGTGGAGGCGGACATCTGGCTTATCGGAAAATGAAAGCAATCCTGACAGCAGTTCGGGCCTGTGAAAAGCTGTCAGGAACCATGGATGGAATCTCCCATACTGGTAACACACAGACTCAGACGCTGGGGGAAATAAGTTGCAAACAGGATGTGATTATGACGAGAATCACAGTTCAGCAGCGTGCCCGTGAGATGTAGGATTACACCTGGGTGAAGTTTCAGACGGAAGAGGAGGTGATGAAATTCGGAACATTTGGCATTTTCGCAATTTAAGAGATGCAGTTAAGACTGTAAAGCGGAAAGAAATTCGAGGCCGCTTGTCCCAAAACAATTGTGTTTATCTTTTGGATCCCAGCAGCTGCTGACATTGGTCAGTCAGCAGTTTATCAAAACTGGGAGGATATGTCAACAAAGGATTGATTCCCCACTCCCTATCCCCGTATCATCTGTGAGGATCGGTCTGAAGGCTGTGGTGATGGAGAAAGGGGAAACCCTGAACTCTGGGACTGAGCAGGGGAGGATAAGACCTGGTCTCTGGACTCTGGTGGGTCCTGGTCTTGGATTGGTTCCAGCACGGTGTATTAACCTGGAACGTCACCGGCTCCACTGAATCCCGCCCCCCACACCATGTGTTTGATCTCCAACCCCCGCCCCTCCCCAGCTGCCTTGCTTTAGCAAGTTGTTTTTTTGTGCATATGATTCTGTTTTTATGAGTAAATATGGGATCAGGACAACTTTTTTTAACTCACCTATCCTGTTGTGTTTTTTTCCAAGCTGCTAAAGGTAGCGTGACCGTGTTTGTGCTAGACCTGATCATATGTTCACCCCCATGTTTGTTATGTATGTCTTTCTCCTGAATGGAGTATTCTTAACTGCAATTTCGTTCTGCATTGCATCTTTGATGTTGTGTGTGAATGACAACAAAGCTGATTCTGATTCTAGAAGATATCTGAAAATAGAAACTTGCATATATGTACAATACAGTAAACTGTATTTGATTATATCTCAAACTGTATAAAGATGTTTGCAACCAAATATTTAAAGTCTACAAACCCTTGCCTTACCTGGCATACAGATGCAGTGGAACCCTCCAATCTGGTCTAGGCAGGTGGCATCATTATGGCAGGGATTGGACATGCATTCATTGACATCCATCTCGCAGCGAGGTCCGTCATATCCTTGAAGACACTTGCACTGGAAGGAGCCTTTGGTGTTGAGGCAGCGACCACCGTGCTCACAAGGATTGGCACCTAAAACGTGTAAGGCACAAGTTGTCATATGTAAAAAAGCTTTTAAAGGAATGCTGTTTTGCCAGGTATCACCTTGCACAACTGTATGGACAACTGTAAGCTACTGCCACACCAATGTTTGTCTACTGTTTTCCCCATAAAACTGACCAGATTGTTGACTCAAAATGGTAATTAATTACAGATTTACATCCAATGATTACTTTCTGGGATCTAAAATAGTTGAGTAGAGTTGAGTAGCAGAGAGTTCTACTTTGATGGTAAAACTCTAAACCTACTCAACTTGTTTTTAAAATTTTCTACCTGGATTATTGAGATGCATCGGGATACTTTCTGGGAGTTTCATTAAAATCCATTTAATGGATATTTTGCTAACAGACAGACATTGTCAGCTCCAACAATAAATGTCCAAGTTTAAGTTATAGTTAACTTCTCTTTTATCTCTTTTATTATTCCATTTTATTTTTTATTTTTATGTATTTTATTTACTTTTTTATTTTTATTACTGTTTTATCCTCTTTTATTGTTGCACTTTGAGATCTGCTTTCAGATATAAAATGCGTTACAAATATAATCTATTATTATTCATTTGTCATTAGCTGTAAACAGGAATGCTACAAAGACATGATACATAAAACGTGCCCGACTTACTGCCGGCAATGCGAACCAGACTCTGACACCGGTCGTACAAGGACCTGACAGCCCGTAACAAAGGGCCCGGAACCCCATACTCCCGGAGAACCCCCCACAAGGCCCCCCTTGGGACACGGTCGAACGCCTTCTCCAAGTCCACAAAACACATGTAGACAGGTTGGGCNTATTATTATTAAACAAAGATTTTGCACAATCTGTTAGCACTTAGTGTGTATTGTGAGTGACATACAGCTACTACCACATCAAATTTTAGCTCATTGTGTATAAAGTTATACCATTTTTTTTCTTTTTATGCTTGATAAAGTTTATTTATTGTGCTGGCCACCTTAAATCAGGTTGATTACAAAGTTAATCAGTTGTAGATGTACATCTAATGATTACATCCTGGGAGTTTTAGTTAAATTTGTTCACTGGTAAATTAAAAAGCTTAACAAGCAAACATACAGACACACAAACACAGGCTGATACATTACTTACTGCCTTTCATGGCAGCAGGTGATAAAAATCATCTGACATTATTACTTACCAAGGGCACACTCATCAATATCCGAGTTGCAGGCTGATCCAGTATAACCTGGTGGACATGTGCAGATTGCTTTGCCATTTACTGGGTTGGTGTCACAATTAGAACCCTTTTGACATGGGTTGCTGATGCAGGCATCATCAAGGTGGCACAGCAGACCTGAGGGCACAAACGCACCACGTTTACTCATTTCATTGAAATCCGTCCTTACGGTGCATCGGGAAATATTGAAAACAGCCGTCACCTGTGCGACCGTGAGGACACTCGCAGAAGAACGAGGCCACTCGGTCGTGGCAGGTGGCGCCCTGATAGCAGGCCGCGCTGGCACAGTCGTCGATGTTCTCGCTGCAGTCGTCCCCCATCCAGCCGTTGACGCAAACGCAGTGGTAGCCGCCGTGCGTGTCGTGGCACGTTCCTCCATTCTGACAGGCGTCGGGCATCAACTCACACTCGTCCACGTTTTCTGTACAATACTGACCTGAAACAGGGAATAAAGAATAACATGAGTAGTTTGTTGCTGGAGATGTTTGCTCACTTTATGTTTTATTTTGTATGTTTATTCCGTTTTAATTGAGTTGTGTAAAGGAAAGGAGGAAAAAAAGAAAGGGAACCTGTGTAATGAGGTGGGCACTGGCAGTTGTAAGTGTTCACCCCATCCACACATACACCACCGTTTTGGCAGTTGTGATTTGGACAGTCATCGATGTTCTGCTCGCAGTGCTGCCCTGTAAAGCCTGATAAAAAAAGAGCAAAAACAAGACCAAAACATTTGAAAAGGTGTGCACTGAGAGCAGTAAAACCAAAGCCTCCACCACACCAAGATATGGTTAATAATCAGACTTTTCCTTCCTCTCTTTATCTTTGAGCACATAATAAAGATAACCTCTCTAGATTCTCGTGGCAAACAGTTTTAATACTCTGTATCTGACAGTGCAGCTTGTGTCCTCCTTAGACATCAAAGGACTTGAGTGGGTGTTTTACAGGTACAATGGTTTGATTAGCAACCAACCCACAGCTGTGCAGGGGGTTGTGCAGCTTTACTATCTCAACGCTTTCTTGTACAGAGGCACACAGCTTGGATTAAACGTTAACACACACATCCACCAATGTCTCTCATTCATCTGCATGTATTGTGCTAATCAAGAGCAGATAATCAGAGCAAAACACGAGCAGCGGAAATATCGAATAGCGTTTAGGTCAGTTTTTTAGATTAAACACTTAAGGGGAAGCGAAACTAAAAAGTGTGACGAGGTTTAAAGGGATACATATCTCAACAGCTGGTGATCTGACTGCAACCTCATTAAAATAAAGAAATCTTTGCATGCAAAGTAAAAGGTGTCACTCAGAATGGCTGAAAAACAAATATTTGTGAGTCTGTGACCCAGTCAATAGGGTGTGTATATCTATATGTTTTGTGTCAGCAGCTTTGCTGGATGGCTGCTGATTATCAGAAGGAAACGTCTGTTGGACTACATCCTGCCAGGGACGGCTGGCAAAGAGTGGAGCTGAGTAACCAGAGACTCCTCCCAATCAGAATTTACCACAACGCTCTGTTTTCCAGGTCAGCTATCTTTGTTAGGAAAACAAATGTTTTCTTACTACACTAGAGCAAAATCACGTGTTCGAAATGGACCAAAACACCCTTACTCATGAGTTATATATAAATGTGTGATTGCATTTTACCTAGAAGGCAGCTGCAGTCGAAGGTGGTTTCTCCCTTCTGGACACAAGTTCCTCCGTTCAGGCATGGTGAAGGGCTGCACGGCTGGTAAGCGGTCTCGCAGTGCTGACCAGCGAACTCTTGAGGACAGCGGCAATAGTAAGAGCCAACCTCATTCACGCAGATGCCACCGTTAAGACACAGAGAGGGAGTCTGGGCACACTCGTTTACGTCCAGCTTGCAGGTTTGGCCTTGGAATGTTGGGGGGCAGGTGCACTTGTAGGTAGAATCTAGGGCTGAGCACTGGCCTCCATTGGCGCATGGATTGGAAGCGCAGGGGTTGGGAGTCTGACAGGTCTTGCCTGAAAAATAATAACAAAAGATACGGCGAAATCAGAGAGAGGAAAAGGTATACTCACGTCAAGCAGCTTGATACTGTTTGCTGCATACCTGACCATCCTGGTGGGCAGTTGCAGCGGAAGACAGAAAGACTAATGAGTTCACATGTTCCTCCATTGCGACAGGGTGAGTTCATGCAGGCATGGTTCGTGGGGGTCAGGCACAGTCTGTCGGTAAAACCCAGGCGGCATACGCAGTGGAAATCAAAGGTGTTGCCATGTGAAACGGGTTGGCATTTGCCACCATTGCGGCAAGGTGAAGGGCTGCATGGGCTGGGATACTGGCACCGGTCACCTACGTAGTCACTGGGACACCTGTGAGAAGACAATGAGACAGGAAGTGGAGGCAGAGATAATTAGAAAACAACTACCTTTTTGTCTAAATCACAGGAACAAATATTTAAACAAATTGGGAATACTAGGAAGGGGACAGTGGTGGTGGGAGTGGGAAGGGAACTGAAAGTTTCCCGCCCAGGGACAGCATGTTGTTCTAGTGTGTCTCTCTGGATTAGGCACTCTCGTAACCTTGAAAACACATTCAGCTAGGACAACAGACACCACTAAATGGCCGAGCCATAACAGCCTGTTCCCATCTACCTTTTGCCCCCAAGCTGTCCACATTCATCCTGAATGAATGAGGAGATCAAGGGGCCTGTGCCGCCCATGTGTGTCCCTATGAGGTTTTGCATTCAGGCTTTAAGCGCTCCAGCTCTCTTATCTAGACAAGGACAACTGCAGCTACAGTCACATGGTTCTAACTGATTATTATATCGATGTAGCTCAAGTCACTATAATTACATAGAAATTCCTTGAAGTGTGAATGATGATTCGTGTGTGTATATATATATAT